ATCAGAAATTTCAAGACAAGTCTCAGGCAGGTTGTACTCAGAAAGTTTGCTGTTAGCCAAAACAAACAACTTGTGTGCTTTAGAACCAGTATGGAGTACGGCAGTGATTCAGAATCAACTAACTGGATTTCCATAAAATCCGAACAAGCCCCCTGCACATACTACATGGATTAGTGATCTGATATACTAGTTATTCTAATGAGCTATTGTTAATGTTATAACATTTGTAACATTTGTTAGTATTTAGTAATGTCTGTGCATGCCATTTAAAAGGCAACTCAAAAATTTCCAAATGACTTCAATAAGAAATCTACTCAAGACTGATTTCTTGCAATATGGTAGACTAGACACTCTGAAAAACTCTCCCAGTATTAAGCCCCTGATAAGCATTGAAAAAGGGAAGAAATCTTCAGAGGCCAAAAATAGAAAAAAAGAAAAACAAATACAAGTAAGCAGAAATGCAGAGAGAAGAGCAAAAGATGGACTGTGATGATCTTTTCTCTGTGTCACTTTGGCTAGCCTGCTGTCCCCAGTATTCCATCAAACACTAATCTGGGTGTTGCTGTGAAAGGTGTCTCCCAGAAGTAAATTCAAGTCCTTCCATCCGTTGACTTTAGTAAAGCCAAAGTAAAGAGAATATTCTTGATAATCTGTCAGCCTGATTTAATCAGCTGAAAGACCTTAAGAGTAGGGCTGAGACTTTCTAGATGAAATTCTGCCTTGGTCAGCTGCTTCAGCCTAGGCCTGACATCTGCAGCCTGCCTTTCCTGATGGCCTGTCCCTGGATTTGGGATTTGCCTAGCCAGCCTCCACTACTGTGGTAACCAATTTCTTGCAGTAAATCTCCTCATACATATCTCCTACTGGTTCTGCTTTTCTGGCTGAACTCCGATTGATACGCACAGCTAGCTGCGGAACTAGGGTATCTGCTGCTCGCTACTTTTGCTCTGGAGGAAAAAAAAGACAAGTTTAAAAGTCAGATCAGAGACTAAGTGAAAAAGTGAACCAGAAAACGAAGAAACAAGTAAGCAAACCTAAAGTTGGTTCTCTGGGCTTCCACTCTGGGTACAGAGGAGAAAACTATTCGTGGATAATCTATAGCCACAAGCCAAAGATTTAGGACCCAACTCCATAACAAATATGTTTAAGTTCAACATTAAGCATAGAGCGATACCACTTCATATCCACTAGACCGACCAAATTTAAAAGTGAGAATAGCAAGTATTGGATGGAATATGGAACAATGGGAATTCTCACTCACCACAATTGAACATCAACTTTGGAAAATAAGTTTGCATCATCCAGTAAAGCCAGATGTATATAACCTAAGAGAAACTCATTCCACCACTTGGTATATGTCTTTGATAACCCTATGGACTTGAATCCTAAGAAACATGTTCAAGAACAGTCTTTACAACATAATATATAATAGCTCCAAACTGGAAGCAGTTCAGATCTACTCACAGGAGACTGGATCAAGTGGAAGATTCACATAATGGAATATAGCACAGCAGGGAAAATGAATGAATTACAGCTACATGTCCTGGTGTAAACATAATGCAGTGACAAAAAACCCGATACATGCCTTAAGATTCCATCTTCCTTCATGGTCTTACCATATACTATAAAGATAAACCCTGGACCAGATCCCTACTTACCCATGTCCTATATTCAGGCTGTCAACTCTATAAAGACCAAGAATCATATCTTATTCACATATGAACCCACAGAACCTAGGAGAGCACCAGCCATAAAGAATATACCCAATAGATATTTGTTGAATTTTGAACACAAAAATGCATGCCAGGAGCCAGACCCCATGTTCCCAGCCTAGAGTCCTAATGCATGAAATTCCAAACTCTGATCTTACCTGCCCGGACCCCTTTCTGCCATAGATGACCCCGCAGCTGTTAGCATCTGATCTGACTAGTGTGAACTCCCTTCCCCAGCTTCCTGAAACCATAGTTCCCCTGGACACTTCCATCTAATAGCCACTATATCCTCGACAAAAAAAAACTTCAGCTAAAGGAAATTGTCATTGTCAATAAAATGAACTTCTGAAGAGTTTAATAAAATGAACTTTTGGACCATACTGATAAGGGACCCACTGTGAAACTCCTGGACACCTTTCTATGTGGGAGATCACAATAAGTACAGAGACACATTTTAGAGGAAAGTAATTGACACATTTTCCTTCCCGAATGACTAGAGCACTTTTAAAGTACATCTTTTTTCAATACCAAAGGGGTTCCTGCTTTAAACATGACAAAGACAGAACATTTTACACAAGTAGAGGGGATCTTTCTTGATATAATCACAGTAATTCAACTTTGAAACACCAACTGACCTAAGTATAAAGTGTACGGTAATGTTGGCTAATGACAGGGCTACTGTCAGTTAATTCCATCATCTCTGCAGGGTAACGTGGTATAAGAACAGCGCAATTACCTTGTTTAGCAAGACCAAGTCCGTTTCAATACACCAAGATTTATAAAATTCAAATGTCATGTATATTTTAAGAATATTCACAAGCACATTAGATTATCCTTAAATCTCTAGCTATCATTTAGGCATTAAATCATGCTTGGTATAGAGATGGTCACAAACAAGTGACATTTTCTCAACTTCTAGAAAATCCACATTACTTTTTTCTATCAGTGTTATGTAGACGAGAGGCTAGTATACTCTAGTCTAATCTATTTGGCTATGAACTAGTCTTCGTTTCATTCTAGTGATTTACTAAACTTCTACTTTGCATCTTACACTATGTTATATACTGTTTGGGAAGGGAATTCCTACTTTAATGGTGCTTTCAAGACAGTTGATAAAACAAGATTTATAGATTCAAAGAAGACATAAAGAATAACCATGAGGGAGTATAAAGCCCTAGGTATAACAGAACCTTAACTTTTAAGCTTGGCTATATTCTGAACACCTATCACCTTGATAGTTTTGAAAGTTCACTCCCTTCTCTGAGTCACACTTGCTTCTTTGGTGAAAAATGGGCCGCATTAGGCACTCTTAAAGGTCCTTCCAACAGACCTAATCTATTCAATTCTGATATTGTGAGGTTTTAAGCAAGTTTAAGAGAGTATCTTTTAGAAGATACATGTGGAGAAATTCACAATGCAAAGATTGTTCCAAATGGGATTAATCAGAGAAGTTTCCAAAGTAATGGTAAATCTTAGGGTTGGTGGAGAATGAGTAAGGAAATAGTATGACAAGCACTAAGGCTGAGGTATGGTGTGTGACCTAACGGGGACATGACATTTGTAAACCTCACTCCTTTCCTATCCATCCCTTTTGCCTTTATGATGAAATATGTGCCATTCTCAGTTCATTATTAATCAAGTCTATCTCAACAGAGAAGGTGTTCAAGGTGGGTGCATGAGGAATAGCCTAACTCATTTCACAGCACAACTGTGGCCCTGGCCAAGTTCACTCACTGCCCTAGTAACTTTCTTTCTCTGCCATGTTGATAACCCAGTGATCTCAAAAAGAGTGAATCACACATACAAAGTGTTATCCCATCATCCAATGTGTAATAGGAATTGGGAAATTCTTCAAGTGATTAGATCAGAGTCCTAAAATTTCACATAGAGACTAAGTTATCTGAATTGGTAACTTAATCAATCAGACCATCCAGAAGAAGAATCTCTTCCCTTCTCTTAGCTCTTGGCAGGAGATTTAGACGGTCCGTTATCTAATTCAGGACAAAGTTGGAATAGCTTCCTAAAGTTAAGGAATGTAAGCAGCTGTCCATTCTTGTGTACAGGAAAAATTATAGACTCAAAATGTCTTCTTGTTTACATACTCTGCTAAGATTACAAAGGAAATTCCCAAGAAAGTTACCATCTATCCCAGGGTCCGGGTGAAGTCTATAGAGAAAGTACTTGTCCCCTTGCCCTCTTCTTCTCCTGCTTGCAAAGTTCTGAGTCCTCCCAAACCTTTATTAGAATCCGCCTGCCCTAATTCTTTCACTCTCTATTTTCCCACTGAGGCCCATGGTTCCCAAATCCTTAAGACATGTAAATAATATTATGGATTCCTTTTGTTAACTGTCCCCCTGGCCCATTATTTTTTTCTCTGAAGAAGGAAGAAACTATACAATATTTAAGAAAATGTCCCAATTTCCAGTGGCCCTTTATGCATAGATTATATCTCCTACAAGTCAAGAGAGAATGTGGGAATTACAAGGACACAACTTGGGTGAGTTCACCTCTGAAAACTATCTGAAACTGTTTTGTACAAGGCAGAGAGGACCAGTTCAGATCACTCTCGAGCGGAGGGTCAGGAAACATACGTCAGTGAACTGCAAACCAAAGGCAGCCAAAAGAAGCTCAGCTGAATTCATCATCTGATAATGTGTTGATATTTCTTTCAGTTTCTCTTCACACATTATCAGCATCATCACACATTGAAATCTGCCTTCCATACGCAGATACAACAAACAGTTTGGTAAATCCACACTAAAGTATTGTAACTTTGCTAGTACTAAAACTCATTGTCTTTAATTCAAACGATCATCCTCTAGGGGATTCAAAAGTTTAAAAACAAACAAACAATTCATCATTATGAGTATCATGTGAATATCATCAATTAATATGGCAAGGATGTGCCAAGGAAGTGAAATTATTCCTACAAGGGCACATACTTTGTGGCAAGAAAGGGGGAGGCGATAACAGATTTGAAAGAACAGGTCACGTTGTGGGGTGCCTGGGTGGCTCAGATGGTTAAGAGTCTGCCTTCGGCTCGGGTCATGATCCCAGGGTCCTGGGATCGAGCCCCACGTCAGGGTCCCTGCTCAGTGGGGAGCCTGCTTCTCCCTCTCCCACCCCCACCCCCCTGCCGCTTGTGTTCCCTCTCTGTGTGTCTCTCTGTCAAATAAATAAATAAAATCTTAAAAAAAAGAAGAAAAAAAGAACAGGTCATGTTGTAATAGAACAATAATGGAACAAAACAGACTCCTCAATGCGGTGAAGAGATTTAAGTCACAATACCCTTTAATCCGCAGGCTTGTTCCTCCTGCTCTGGAGCTCTCTGCCTTGGCTTCCTGTAAATGATGTGTGGGTGGTACTCTCCCTCAGCCACGGGATGCTTTTTGATGGGCTCAATGAAGAAGTCTCCATGTGGTAGATGGAAAAACCCAGTCTGTAAATATACATAATACAAAGGTCTATTTGAATCACTTCTGTATCTATGCAGAGAAAATTAGTAAAGTGAAAATTACATAGATCGTGATGACCCCTTAAAACCCATAAGACCAGTGCTTTCAGAATCTGCCATCTTATCTCACAGAAAAGTGACACATAAATAAGTTAATGAGATGTCTTTATAGTCATAGTTATTCAATGTTTTTAAACCATGGATCCCTTTGAGATTCCAATGAAAAAAGTGTACCTATACGCATGTATCCAAAATGTGGCATGCAATGTTGCAGGTTCATTCCCCTGTCCCTAAAACCCATTGCTGGGTATCTATGAATCTTATATTAAGAACCAATGCTTCCCAGTTGCCCTATTATGGAGTTGGTCCCCATACGCCATATTCCATTGACAATTTTTTGGAACATTTACTTGTATGGGGGTCGTCCAGCTACACGTTCACACAGCTGCTTGAAGTGTTTTTGCCACAGTGCTCTCATGGAAACAAAAAAATCTGAGACTGAGTTTCCAGGAGTCCACAGTGCAAAGTCCTCTGTCAGTTTCCAGGGGAGGGGGGCACTCTCATTCACAGATATGGGAATCAGTGATATGCTGGAAAAAGCCCATCGATGAATCACTCTTTCTGGAGGTCAGGTCTAGAAGGAAAATTTCTAGTGCCAATTTGAGATGTTTAGAAAACTCCTTTGCCAACGATCTCCTAGGCTGGACTTAAGGCTCAGGATCTGAATTTTATATTAATGAAAAAAAGAACTTGCCTAGAAGACCTGCCTAAGGCATCACACTGAGGTGATCAGGAGCTCAGGCTCTGGAATTAAACGGCTTCAATCCCAGGTCCTTCACTTAGGAGCATTGTGACCTTGGGCAAATGACTTGCTCAGTTTCAGCTTTCTCAAGTGAAAAATGGGGATAATCAAGGCTTGTTATGAAAACCAAATGAGTTAATATATGCAAAGCTCTTAGAAAAGGGCCTGGCTCATAGTCTTAACTATCATTAGTCTCTTTCCAGATTTTATGTCATTTCATTGTATTAGGGTCAACATAGCCGTTCAGTGAATAATACGTTCGCAAAAGTAAACCTGGAAACACTGGGAGCTTAGGGAAACTGTGAAGGCTTCCAAGTTCAAGCCCCCTCACCATACCTCAGCAAGCCAGGGCTGCCCTGCTCTGCGGATGAGTCTGAAGACTAAGCAGCCCCCACACTCAAAGGCAAGAGGGGCTCCATGAAAGGAGGCTGCTCTCTATGGACAATCCCTGACTTGGATGTCTTTCCAAAATGTTTGCTTCATTGGATCAGTAACATAACCAGATCTTAACATAAATCTCATAATTGGCTTCCTGTTTTGATTACTGACTTTGAAATATCTTTAATAACAAGAGGAACAGAAAAAAAAAGGCACACTTTACTGGCGGTCGTAAGAACAGCTATGTGACTTTGAGGAGGTTACCCAACCTGCAAAAAAAAAAAAAATGCCTACTACTTCACAGGGCTGTTCGAGGAATCAAATGAGCTAAGGCTTATAAAAGTGCCATGCAAAGTACTTTACAGATGCAAGGTGGTGGTGTTTTCCCTGAGGAATCCCATGGGACATAAAGAACTGACAAGATCCAGATTGTAATAAAATAGCTGCAAACAGACTTGCACAGTGTTGAGATTTGGTTCCATTTCTACTCTGAAACAAAGAGCAGGGACATGAGGAGAATGTAAGCCTGTTGCTGATAAAGCTCATTTGTTCCACAGAAACAAGGAGGACTCAGAGACTCCTCAGGGAAGGCTGGTGCGGGGTCCTTTTGTGCAACTGCTATCAACCCAATATGGATGTCCCTGAAGAAAAAAACAAGAAGGATTGATTGGTATTTCTTTAACCTCAAATTTTGGACCCAGGTGGTACAGAAGAAACAGATGGGGCTCCGGCTGAGAACATAATAACTATTTATAAGCAACATGAATGAGAATGCCTGAAAGCCAAACAAGCATTTTCCTAAAGGCTTACTTTCATCTGCATTCTTCCACGAGGCCAGCCTTGCACCCGGAAATTACCTACTCAGTCTAAATATTTCTCTGAAGCTGGATGGTGACACCTAGGAGAGCTGGCTGACCCACCAGCTGGAGGGAAACAGGACACCTGCTCACATGCACGGACCTCTTGTGTGGGTCACACAGAAGGAGAGGGGATGAAGAGGTAGCCACTGGTTTGGAGGAGAGTGAGGGAAGAAGATTTCCCAGCAGAGCTCCTTCTCCACCAACATATAAACACGGAGCTTTAGACGAGTATCCAGGTGGCCATGGGTTACTGGTCTCTTCTCACCTAACCAGAGCCAGGTCACACTGGAAGAACTCGCTGCCTATGGTTTGCTTTCCAAACAAGGGACAGGCTTCATGCTTTCCTGAAGCGAGCCGCCCAAGAGAATCACCTTCTCCTATTACCAGTTCTGGAAGAGGCACTCTTCATTCCAATCTTCTCTATAACCTGCTGACCTTTCTGAGATCTCTGAAGAAGAATAGGGAATGGACTTGAAAAAAAAGTATCCAATTCACTGGGGGCTTGTACTCTGTTCCCAGAAGAACCAGGGCAGAATGAACCCCAGACAGAAGCTCAAGGAGGACAAATCTGCCCTTTCTCTCCATTGTCACCTACTCTTCCCCCTCAGTCTCCAGTAGTCTCAGCACACTGCTGACATCCTTTTGGAAAGAAACTCACGTCCTTGTTTTAACTAAGTTATAAATATCTGTGAATGCTTCCTGAGGCTATCTTCTAAGAATTGTTTTAAATAAACTTTATTTTGAAGATTTATAAACATACAAAAGGATATACAAATCATAACTGTAAAGTCCCATAAATCTTCTATTGATGGAACACCTAAATGGAGAAACAGAACATTCCCAGCAGAAACTCCCTATTCCCCTCCCAGTCAATACCATCCCCCCCACAGAGGTAAGCATTATTTTGATTTCTAACACTAATATATTAACTTGAAGTCCATCTTTAATTTTTTACAGGAAGCATTATTTGATACAAAAGAAAAAAAAATATCTACTAGTTCATTTCAAGTGTTAGGGACTGACCGGCGGAAAAGATTTTAAGGCAGGTGGATTTCTTAAAGTCCATTAAATCAGACTCTTCAGATTGCTTTATACTCTTCAGGCAAGCCCAACTGGTGGGCATGAGACAAAGGGCTGAGCCACCTTGGTGTGAGGCAGTGGCATTGAACCTCTACTGCCCTCTGCTAAGGAAAGGGGGAGAAGGACTTTCACAAACTCTTTAGAACCAACTTATTTTCCCCAGTCTCAGATTGAGAATAGTTGCCTACAACCTCTTCTCCCTCTCCCATCAAAGTGTTAGTCATCTTGATGTAACTGACATTATACTTCCATTAGTGCGATGATTTAGGGCCCAGTGGGAAACTGGCAGTGTCTAACAAGGAATCTGTGAATAGAGTGTTCTAGAATCACACAACCTAGAGACCCTGAAGAGTCACCTAACCTATGCTGGCAGCCTCGTAGGTAAAACCTAGCAGAATGAAGGGTAACAACAATGGTCTTGTAAAAGACATAGGAAAGAATTACCAAATCAGTTCTGACACTCCGGGTCCTGGGCTGCACAGCTCAAGGGGGTGCTGTTCACATAAGAAAAAGCTGTGAATTGTACCCCCTGGAGCTGTAAAATGGAACAGTGCTGCCAAAACTGAGCAACCTGTCCTGGAAAGAAATTCCTTTTCACTTGAAAATTTCAGAAGTTACCAGATCAAGTTTTTCTTCCCATGGGGACGAAGACAACATGAGCAACATATTGGTTTGGGATAAAGAGACACCCAAGATACTCATCACAGTACATGAATCACTGGAAAAGATACCACCTGTTGCCCATTATAATACACAGGAAAGAGGATAAAGATGCACCCCCACAATCATCCTTATTGATTATCAATCTGTATCTGTCACTTGGCCAGCCCTGTGCTAAGAACTCTAAGACGGGTATATAAACCTCAAGGTTTATAATGCAGCCAGAAGACAAGACTTGATATACAGCACCCCTGAGAAAGGTGTGTATTTGGGGGGGTGGAGGGTCCCTCCCTAGGTGCTACAGATTCCAGTGCTGTGGTTCAGGGAAAATGAAGACCAGTGAGGGTGAGTGCTTTTAGAGGGCAAACACAGAAGACTGCACTTCTATAGTCTCCAAAACACGTGGCAGAGTCCAAAAGCCATGACAGCCTCCCAGAATTACTAACTTCTTTTGTTGCTGGTCTGTAGCAGGCAGAACACTTTATCATTTAATATGTAACCAGGACCCTAAACCAGGACTAGAAGTTAAGAGATGACAGAAGCCTCAGAATATAGATATAAGACCACTGGGAAGATTCCCCCAGGAGTACCTCACCCTCTGCTTGACCCCAAGAGCTCCCTGACTGGCCCGCATGGAGCCAATGATGGGAGCGACTGGTAATGTCATAGATTCATGAAGATTTTCCATATTATTCTTAGTGATACTAATTCATGTGGTGTGAGGAGATAAAGCTCAAGCCAGGAAGACATTCTCTGGTGCATCCACTTGGTAGTTACCATATGTAGGGCAGATATTATAACAATACAGATCTGGTCCCTACCTCTTAGAACGTGCTGCCCAAAGAACTTCCTGTGATGATGGAGATGTTTTATATCTGCACCATCCAATTTGATAGCAATGAGCCACATGTTGTTACTGAGCATTTGAGATGTGGCTAATATAACAACAGAACCGAAGTTTAATTTCATTTAACCTTACTTTTTAAAATTTTTCATGTTGAGTATAGTTGAGAGGTGTACAACATAGTGAGTCTACAAGTCTACACATTATGCTATACTTATTACAAGTATAGTCACCCTCTGTCACCATACAAGGCTATTACAATATCACCGACTATATTCCCTATGCTGTGCCTTTTATTCCCTTGACTTATTCATTTCATAACTGGAAGCATATATCTCCCACTCCCCTCCACCCATTTTTC